TACCAGGGGGATAAAATCAGCAGTATCTGAATGTGGAAAATTCTGTAAGGACAGTTACATTACATTAGTTGCAAGAGGAAAGAGAAGTCAGGCCTGGTTACACAGGCGAAGGTCTATATCCCCAGCTCCTCAGAGGCTGAGGCAAAAAGATCGAAATTTAAGTCTTCCCTAGGATAAATTTAAGGCCAGTTTAAGCAATGGACCCTGTCTGGAGTGTTTGAAAAAGAGTCCTAGGTATATATCTCAGTAGTGGAGAACTTGCCTTGTGCACAAGAACCTAGGCTCAGTCCATCCAGTACTGGGGGCTTCGGGGGGTCAGGAAGAACAAACACTAGAGAAGAAAGTTACCAAGCAACTGCATATAAGCTGCTTTTTAAAAAAAAATCCAAATTTTTATTTTGTTTTGAGGCAGAGTCCTCAAACAGGGTAAGGTTGTTCCACACTCACCTTGTAGCACAGAATAGCCTCAAATTTAAGAGCCTCCTATCTCAATCTCCCAAGTGCTGGGATTACAGGCCTGTGCCACTACACCTTTTAAATCTTTTTTTTTTTTTTTTAAACAAGATAGCTTAGGCTAGCCTAGAACTCAAGGTCTTTCTGCCAATGCTGTCATTACAGATGTGTACCACATGCCTGGCAGAGTAATGAATATTGTATGTGGAATATATATTATTATCTTGCTGAGGATCTGATGTAATTTTTTGCAGATAACAGATCCCAAAGGCTTTAGAATTTTTGAAGATCTCTAGTTCATACAGCCCCGGGAAGTAGAAGAAGAACCTGCAGAAAGGGAAATTAAAAGAGGTCTATAAGATTGCTTAGTGGGGAAGACCACTCACCACTAAGCCTGATTAGCTGCATTCAGTCCCTAGGACCCACATGATCAAAGAAAAAGCTCACTCCTGAAAGTTGTCCCTGCATATACATACACGTGTACACACACACACACACACACACACACACACACACACACACACACACATGAATGCACGCACGCGCGCACACACATATACATGCAAGCACATACTTTTTGTTTTGTTATATAGAGACTGGGTTCCTCTGTGTAGCCATGGAGTTCTGGAACTCACTCTGTAGATCAGGTTAGCTTCAAACTCAAAAGTCTCCCTGCCTCTTCCTCCTGAGTGCTGGGATTAAAGGCATGCACCACCACCACCAACACCACCCGGCTTAATACAATTATTCTAATTTTGTTCTTTTTTGGTTTTTCAAGACAGGGTTTCTCTGTTTAATAGTCCTGGCTATCCTGGAACTCATTTTGTAGACCAGACTGGCCTCGAACTTACTGAGATCCACCTGCTTCTGTCTCCCAAGTACTGGGATTAAAGGTGTGTGTCACCAACGCCATCTTAGTGAAATTATTTTTGAAAGACATTGGAAGAACATGGACAGGAACTACATTTGCTATTTAGGATACTCAGACGTCTTGACCTTTGCTTCCCCCCACTCCCACCCTCCTCTTTTCTATTCCTGAACTTCCCTGCTCACAGTTATTTCTAACACATGAAGCCCTGCTAATTGTAGTTTTTCCTACACCCAGAAACTATTTTTGATCAGTTTTATGCCAAAGTAGGCATGTGATTTATGAGGTTCTTTAAAAATCTAGTATCCATTTCTACAGGAGATAAAATAATCAAAGTGGAAGCCAAGCTAGAAGATACTTACATCAGTACTGGCCTTCAGTTTGATCTCAATTTTCTGGCATTTTAGAGGGTTGTTCCTTCAGGGTTTTATGGACCATGGTGAAATAGTAGGGAACACAGAAAACACAATCCCAAAATCAGAAGTGAGTTCCTTTTAGTTAGCGTAACATTTGGGTTATTTTGTTTTTTTGTTTTGTTTAGGTTTTTTTTGTGTGTGTGTGTGTGTGTGTGTGTGTGTGTGTGTGTGTGTGTTTGTTTGTTTTTTGAGTCGGATTTCTCTGTGTCACAGCTCTGGATGTCCTGGAACTCACTCTGTAGACCAGGCTGGTCTTGAACTCACAGAGATCTGCCTGCCTCCACCTCCTGAGTGCTGGAATGAAAGGCATGTGCCACCACTGCCCAGGGTCTTATGGTTTCTTTCTTTCTTTTTATTTAAGATTTTATTATGTGTATAGTGTTCTGTACTGCATGTTAGAAGAGGCAATCAGATATCATGACAGATGGTTGTGAGCCACCATGTGGTTGCTGGGAATTGAACTCAAGACCATTAGAAGAGTAGTCAGTGCTCTTAACCTCTAAACCATCTCTCCAGCCCGTCTTATGGTTTCTTTTGCTGTGATAAGCAACTTGGAAAGAGTTTGTTTCATCTTACAGTTTGTAGTTTATCATTCAAGGAAGTCAGCTATGTATAGTAATTAATTACTGTATAAGGCTATAACTCTAGTCCTAGGTTGATTTGATTTCTTTTGGTTTTGAAACAAGATTTATCTGTATAGCACATGCTGGCCTGTAACTATCAATACTCAGTGTCTCAGTGTCTTGAGTGCTTGGATTACAGGCATGCACCAGCACACCTGACTCAGTTTTATTTTTGATCCAGCATACAATTAAGTTAAATTTTCTTTTTCTTTGCTATTCTGGGTATGCCCATGACTTTGAGCCAGCCTACTCAGTCCAGCTTGCAATTTATTTCACAGGCTTTTCATAGCCAGACTGTCTAATTTTCAGTTACCTTTATGCTACCCATTCACCTTTAAAAAAAACAAACAAAAAAAACTGTCTTTTATTCTCTTATTTTCATTGCTTTCAAAACATTGTTGATTACAGATCTCTCCACCACAAGATGGCACCCCAGAGTAGTTGAAGCTATGGTTTTTCTCTTCTTCCTAACTTGGACTGTTCCAGTCAGGGCATGTCTGTGAAAGCTCAGTTGTGTTCTTTAGACCGTGCTTTCATGGAAGGTTGAAACACAGGAATCACACAGTGTGGGGTTGTGTGGTTGGATTCTGGGGCCAAGGACTGAACCACAGAGCTCGTGTTGCCCCACAGGTGCTGTGCCATCTTTGAGACAGGCTCTCCCTGAGTTGCTCGGGTTGGCTGGCCTGGAATGTGAGAACCTCCTAGAACCTCCTGCCTCAGTGTCTGAAATACTGGGGATTATAGGTATGCAGCACCATTTTTGACTTCAGCATGTGCTTTAACATTTTAAATATATGTTTGTAATAACTTTATGTTAAATTTTATGCAAATTTTTAAAGTAATTGTCATCACCATTAATGGGTCCAATTCCCACTTTGAATTTATGTTCAAAGAAAATAATCTGTAATTTCAGTGTAGTTTTAACGAAATGGAGGAGATGCCATCTATACCTAATAACCTGAGTTCAATCCCTGGAGCTACTTGGTGAAAATTCAGAATCACCTCTTACAAGTTGTCCTTTATCTTTACTCTCTCTCTCTCTCTCTTACACACACACACACACACACACACACACACACACACACACACACACACACACACACGAGAGAGAGGGGGGGGAAATAAGTACATTCTGAAGGAAAGGCACCTTTAATGTCTTTTGAAGTGTGTGAATTGATGAATCATAATTTTTGTTTATGATCATCATCATTGTTGCTGTTAGTTTAGTGATATGGGATCTTTTGGTATATCTCACACTGGCCTGAAACTCACGTAGTCCAGTTTGAACTCAACTGCCTCAGGTGGCTGAATGCTGCTGGGGTTACAGGCATGGACCAACATCCATGCCTGGTGCCCAGTGTTGGGCATATTCTTCAGCTAATCAAAATGTGTTTATTAACCATCAAATATGTGTACAATCAGAACTTGTATTTTCCTAGGCTTGATAGGCAAGTAAGAAAAATATTGTTATTGTCTCACTAGAAATGGTATGTCTTTAAACTCTTGTACACTATGATAATGGCCATGTGCTTTCCACATGGAGAAAGCTAAGAAATAACTATTGAGTAAGTACAGAAGTTGCTGCCTAATTTTGAAGCAAAAAAAATTATATTTTTAAACTATTTCTGAAGAATATTTATTCTTTTTGTGGTAGGGGATTTGCCACAGCTCATATGTGGAGGTCAGAAGGCAGCTTCATGGAGTTGATCCCCTCCTTCCACCATTATGTGGGGTCTAGGGATTGAACTTAGGCCGACAGGCTTGATGGCGCGAGTACATTTACCCTCTGAGTCATCACAGTTTCACTGTGTAGCCCTGGCTGTGCTGGAACTCGCTCTGTAGACCAGACTGGCCTCAAACTTAGAGATCCACCTGCCTCTGCCTCTTGAGTGCTGGAATCAAAGGTGTGCACCACCACCACCCAGCATAATGAGAATTTTTTTTTTAATTGTTAAAAATAATTTTGAGCAATGGTGGCACAGGTCTTTAATCCCAGCCCTTGGGAGGTAGAGGCAGGTGGATCTCTGAGTTCAAGGCCAGCCTGGTCTACAGAGCAAGTTCCAGGATAGCTAGTGCTACACAGAAACCCTATCTTGAAAGATTAAAACAAACAAGTGTGTGTGTGTGTGTGTGTGTGTGTGTGTGTGTGTGTGTACATACATACATACATACATGCACATTTTATTTTTTCTTCAGAGTTGGGGTAGTGACTTCTGAGTCCCACCACTATCTCGGGGAACTCTAGAGGAGTCAGTTTAAAAACAACTTCGTTAGTCTGTCTTTGGAAACCAATACCTAGAACCAGTATAGCCTGACCTGGGCAGAGGTTAGGTATCCATTTATAAGCTGGTCATGGTGGTGTGTGCCTATAACCCCAGAGTTTAGTAAGTAGAGGTGTGGGGGGTCAAATTCATCCTTGACTTCATAGTTGGAAGCCAGCTTCTGCTACTTGAGAGCTCTTGTTACACAAACAGCAACAAAGAAGGCATTAAGTTATAACTTTCCTCAGGCTTTGGAAGATAGAAAATTATTAAGAGCTAGTCTCTTCCTTCTAGGAACTCTGAGACTCACCTGAAGGAACCAGCTAGCAGAATCTTTCCTGTTATTTGAACTCTTTTTGTTTGACTCCATGTTTTCTAGCTCCTGAATGTAGTCTCTCACCTAGCCCAGAAGAATCTACAGCTGCTGGTCCTGGGCCGGAAGCACATGCTAAAGCCAAGCTCTAGGTGGAAAGAGGATGAGATGGAGCAGGTGCAAAAGCAAGCCCATTGCTTTTTTGCTGATAACATGTAAGTATTGGAGGGTTACAGGTCAACTGGACTAGGTTCCAGTCATCTACTTAGTTATCTATCCTGTCATGAAGAGTGCTTGCCCATGTGTATGCAACCTCGTTTTAAACAAAAACAAAATAGGTTGGAGTTGGCTTACAAAAATACAGTGTCTCCTGTAGAGCAAACGTGCATAGACAAGAAAAGGAGCGGGGTAAGTCAGGAGTGAGGCTGGCACTTAGAATTCACACCATACAATCCTAAACTGATCACTGAGCAGACACTCTGCAAATACGAACACAGTATTTGTTCTCAGTGCCGATGACAAAGCTCCTTGCCCTTTTAGTCCGAACAGAAACAAGCCACCAGATAGCCTCATTGTAGCCAGTGCTCAGTGCTGTGGGAAGTGGGAGTGATGAGAAGGACTCCTCGCCTCACAGTGCTCCTCCCTCACACAGGGGCAGCAAAGATCCAAAGTCCCTGGTGTAGGAATAAGCTGGCCACTGGTAAAAGAAGAAGGCCAGCATGGATGGGTTAGAAGAGCAACCAGAAAGTAATCTTTTGGGGCTGGGGATGCAGTTCAGTGGGTAGAAAACTTGTCTGGCATGCAGGAAGCTCTGAGTTCCATCCCCAGCCCCACAAGAAACCAGTGGTGCTGGTACCACCTGTGATCTTAGTCCTGGGAGGTAGAAGCAGGAAGATCAGGAGTTCAAGGTCATCCTGTGCTACTCAGAGGCCATCCTGGGATACATGAGACCCTGTCTAGAAAAGGGGGGGGGGGAGGAAGGGAGGGAGGCAATGGGGAAGGGAAGGAAAAAGTTCTGAAATCAGAGAGAAGACCTTATTATAGAGGACCACACAAAGGATCTGGATTTATTATTTTGTTTTTGCTTTTTTGTTTTCTGTTGTTGTTGGGGGGGGGTTGTTGTTGTTTTGTTTTTCGAGACAGAGTTTCTCTGTGTAGCTTTGGAGTCTGTCCTGGCACTGGATCTGTAGACCAGCCTGGTCTGGAACTCACAGAGATTCACCTGCCTCTGCCTCATGCGTGCTGGGATTAAAGGTGTGTGCCACCACTGCCCGGCTGGATTTATCCTAATAGAAAATTGCTATTGAGCTACAGCTTCCCAGGAAGGCAAAGGAGCGCAGCAAACATGATTAGTACCACATTGTGCAGTTCATTAATAGAAAGCAGCAATGCAGGAAGATGGGAGGCCTTGGGCCGCACGGACAAACCCTCAGTGTCCTCGGGTTTTCCTACTGCTTCTGCTGGCACACATTATTTGCAAACTTGCCTGGCTGTCACTTTACAGTGTGCCTCAGCACTAAGTCTAGGACTCATTAGTTCAGAAGGGACAATTTCAATGTTTTCAGGACCCCACAAAGACTTAAAAAGGTGAAGTGGCTCTTGATGCATGACTCGGGAGGTCAATTCCTCACTCAAATCACAAACCAAATCACTTGTTTACACTGAGGGGAGGCATTTCTGTTGCTTCAGAAGCAAAAGACTTAATATTCTCGATGTTGTCACTCTCGAAGTGTTGGTAAGCATTAGGAGTATAGGCTTATTTCAGATCACACACCTGCCATTTCCCACCTGGAAAGGTATTTACTCCATGCATAATCTTCATGAGGTTATTGTGGAGGGTGAATGAGAGAATAGTTGTAAAATGTAAAATCTGCACAAGTTCATGGAAAGTCTGTATGTTCATCACCATCATCGTCATTGTTTTTCTTAAAGAAAGAGATACATCATGTGCTATAACCCAGAAGTCTCTTGGGAATTGGTATTGCTGCCTGCTTTGGGACCTGTACTTAATGCAACTATTCAAGTTCTAAGCTCTGTTATAAAGATTGACTCACTAGTTTCCTGTGTCTCGGGATTTAAATATTTATGCTTTTAATGTTAACTTGTATTCTCCATTAAAGTACCAAACAAATCTTTCGAACATAAAACAGAACAGTGTAGTGAGTCCACATAATCAGTCCCCCATATAAACCTGCTCTAACAATCTCATCGTCTTCCAAAGAAAACTCCTATCCTGTGGATTTTTAGGCTCTAACATTACTCATCGTCTTCCGTATAAAATCCTGTGGGTTTTCAGGGTTGTTTTGGTTTTGTTTTTCTGATAAGGTCACAACTCTAGCCCATGCTGACCTGAAAGTTTTTTAAGTCCCAGGCTTTAGCAGTCCCTTCCCCCAGCTTTCCATTGTGTTTTAGATAGTGTCACCGACTAAGGACACCAGGCGTGTCAAGGAAAACTCAGATTGCCTCTGTCAAGAACCACTGGCACCCCCAAGGGATGTCCCAAGTAAATGGGTGGAGGGAAAGCCCTCCGCCCCTGCCATGACTGACTGTGCTCCTCCTCCTGTCCACTGCAGATCGAAGGATGATCCATTCCTGCTCTACGCCACCCTGAACTCAGGCAATCACTGCAAGTTTATCACGAAAGATCTGATGCGGGACCACAAGGCCTGCCTGCCTGACGCGCACACCCAGCGCCTCTTCTTTAAGTGGCAGCAGGGACATCAGCTGGCAATCGTGAAAGGTTCTCCAAGGTCAAAACTGACTTTCCAGGTATGGGGTCTGCTCTTAAGTGATACTGATAGAGTCTTGCCTAAAGAAAGAGGGTGGCACAGTTCTTTAAATGTTGAAAGTTCTAAATATTTCCTTTTTGTTTTAGTGTGGTAGTTAGCCAGTTCCTAGAAACAGCGTCTGTCAGAGCAAAAGTATTCACAGGCCAGCCCCAAATTGATTGACATATTAAAACATCTGGAGTATTGTGTGATTGTGCCTGAAACAGCACCTTCACCTATACTTAGACACTCTGTGTTTCCATCTTCCTGTTTACTTGAAAAAGCTTGAAACACCTTATCCTGTCATACTTTTCTTTCAAGCAGTTTTTCCTATTTCTTAATTTAAATTACATTTGTGTACATGTATGTACGTGTGTGTGTGTGTGTGTGTGTGTGTGTGTGTGTGTGTGTGGTTAGAGACGGAACTCAAAGCCTCACACATACTAGGCAAGTCCTCTACCACTGAACTGCATCCTCAGCCCAGTTTTTACTTTTTATTTTTGGGACAGGCTAGCTTTGAACACACTGAACACAAATAGATTTTGACTTTACTATCCTCCTATTTTATTTGCCAGGCCCAGCTAACATATTATATTCCTTTTTCATTTTTAATCATGTGTTTGTGTCTGTGTGGGTGTGCAAACATCAGTGCTGGCGCCCAAAGAGGCAAGAGGATATAGATCCCTGGAGCAGGTGTTACGGGCATTTGTGAGCCACCTGACATAGGTCCTGGGAACCAAACTCTGGTCCTCTGCTGAGCAGTACCACTGCACCATCTCCAGCCCATGTGTTATATTCCTGAAGACTACTAAGAGAGTAGATTCTAAGTTTTCTCGTTGTGAAAAATAAAAAGTTGGTAACACACATTAAATAGCTTGAGCAGCCATTCCACAGTGTAGTATATTTCAAAACATGCTGCATGCAGTACATAGGGTTTCGCTATGTGTAGCGTGTGTAGCTTTAGAGCCCATCCTGGAACTCACTGTATAGACCAGGCTGGCCTCAAACCCACAGAGATCCACCTGCCTCTGCCACTATTAAAGGTATGCACCACCTGGCTAAGTTTATTAATCTTAAAAATAAACTAAAATACAAAACAAATGTATAGTGAAAGAGTACCCGTGACATCACAGCAATTATTAAATCAGCAAAATCAGGACTTTATTATGGGAAATGATTCAAAACAACTGACCCAGTTTTCTCAGAAACAACAGCAAAAATGAAAAATACAAGTTCAGTGAAAATAGAGATGGGAAGGGCATCTCTGCATTACAGGATGATTACAAGTAGTCCAATCCCTCGAAAGCAGTAACCCTATTTTACTTCTCAGTTAATAAACTACAAAATGCATGTATATACATATGTAGTAATGGGGAAAGTACAAACAATAGAGATTTGATGAGGCTGAGGAATTGTTGATTAGTCTGATGTATGCATGCATTCATACATATACATATTAATGTATGCAGTTAAATCAGACAAGCTCTCACCGTGTATCCCTGTCTGGCCTGAAACTCTCAAAGAACCAGGCTGGCCTCATCACCCTCTTGGCTCAACCTCCTGTGCTGGGATTCCTGTTTACTCTGCCATCATACTTATCTGATGTCAGTGCTAGGGAAAGGCTAGTAAAAACACTGATCTTAGAATTACAAAATAAAATATCACTTTTTAGACGTACACATCTGAGATTCACTTCAAGATAATCTTGAGAGCTATTTTTCTACTTTCAATATTTGATTTTTCTCTTCTCACAATAAAATAATCTTATAACTTGTAAATATGACACTCTTATAGAGAGTTCTTAACCTTAAAATGAAACTCCCCTTTTACATGATTTTATTGTTGTGGGGTCTGGAGAGGTGGTTCAGTGGTTAGTGCTTGCTGAGTTTCGATCCCTGGGTCCACATTACAAGCCCAGTGTGTTCTTCCACATGCCTGTAGCCTCAGTAGTAGTGTGTGTGATGGGAGATGTCATTCTGTAAACATGTTTCTCTTATTGGTTAATGAATAAAGCACTGTTGGCCAATAGGAAAGCAAGATAGGCGGGACTAGGAGAGAAGGAGGTTTCAGGGAAAGGTAGGAGGATATTTAACATGTAGGACCTAGAGAGCAGAACACTGGATCCTCTCTCCTGGTAATAAGACCATTTGGAAACACTTAGATTAATAGAAATGGGTTAATATTTAAGATAGAGCTAGCCAATAAGTAATGCTAGTAACAGGCCAACAGCCTTATATCTAATATAGCATCCCTGTGTGTTATTTGGGGCTGGCACGGCTGTGGGACCAGGCTAGCGGGGAGAACATACTCATAACATGTGTGGAGTAGAGATAGGCTTGTTTGTGCTTGCTAGCTGCCAAACACACACACACACACAAAACAAAAACAAACAAACAAAAAACAAAACAAAAATACAGGAGCTCTCTGTTCAGGCAGAGACCCTGCCTCAATGGAATAATATGGAAAATGGTAGAAGAAGCCTCTGGCTTCTGTGCCTGCACAGGCATGTGTATTGGTATGTACATGTGCATACACCACACACAAAGATACACAAAGGAAGGAAGGAAGGAAGGAAGGAAGGAAGGAAGGAAGGAAGGAAGTCCAGTGATGAGGGACGTCAGTAACCTTCGTTGTTGTTCTCACGGTTTGGCTCTCTTTAACCCATCAGCATACTCTCAGCTATGACACAGTGGTGCAGACAACGGGAGATTCCTGGCACATACCTTATGATGAAGACCAGGTGCAGAGATCTTCTTATGAAGTGCCAACCAAATGGCTGTGCCTCCAGCGGAAGACGCAGGCGCCTGCTCCGTGCTGAATTGGTACTGGACGCCTCCTGGCTGGTAGCAGAGCCCTGCCGTCCATGCTAACTTCAGGCATGACCTTTGTCTTGCAAATAAAACAATCTTAGTAGCACTGTTTGGTTTAGTTGGTTTGCAGCAACAAATTGATTTTCATCTTTGTTTGGTTTTGTTTATGAAGCAGGTTCTTGTAACTAGCTGTAACCCCCACACCCTATCCCATCCCATCCCCCCATCACCCCCCCCCCCAGTGTTTCTGGAGTTTTATGTAGAACGTGGATCCTAGTGCAGAACCTTGGTGTTGGTCCCTCCTGCCAGGCAGCTCTCCATACTTGCTCTGGCTGATTTGACTTTCCAGGCTTAACCATTGGTCCTTCTTTGTTTTATAATGTAATTATAAACATTTCCATGCTGATTATGATATTGGCATGATATGGTATTCCAAGATAATATCCCAAAAAAGTCCAATTTTTTTTTTTAACTTTTAGAAATAAAAATTGGCTTTCAAGGGGGGAAAAATAGGATTTTGAGCTGGCAGGGTTGCTGAGTGGATAAAGGCACTTGCTACCTGATTGATGATCTCAGTTTCATCCTAGGACCCACAGGGCAGGAGGAAAACCTGAACACATAAGTTGTCTTCTGACCTCCATGAAAGTACCCCCTCCACACATATGATAGATGAAATATAAAAATAAAGAAATAATTTTAAAAATAAATTTTGAAATGATTACAAATGGAGAGCCGTGGAAGAAACTGGGGATCTGTTTTCTAGATCCCTGAACTGTATATGTGCTCTGAGCCCTAATTTTTTACATTTAATTTTGAGATAAGGTCTCCAGGCTGTCCTTGAATGTACCGTAGCCTAGGCAGGCCTTGAACTTAGGGTCTCGTCTGCTTTAGCCTCCCAAGTATCTGAAGGCCAATGACATTGCATGTAGCTTATTTTTGAAGAAATTATTCTGGTTTATGAGGGAAAAATTTCTCATTTTTTATTTGTTTGTTTGTTTTGGGGACAAGGTTTCTCTGACTGTCCTGGAACTCTCTCTGTAGATCAGGCTGGCCTTGAACTCACAGATCAGCCTGCTTCTGCCTCCCAAGTGGTGGGATTAAAGGTGGCCACCACCACACCCATGTAAAGGGTTTTTGTTGTTGATTGGGGGGTGATGGTGGTACAGTTGAGGTGTGGTATGGGGGAGCAAGGTCTTGCAATGTATCCCTGTGTAGCCAAGAACATGTAGCCATCCATCTGCCTGAACTCCCACGTGCTAGGTTGCAGGCATGAACCTCCATGCTTACTTAGATTGAATTATTAAAATTGCCATGAAAGGGGGTGGGGAGATGGCTCAACAGGTAAAGCCTGAGGACCTGAATTTGATCCCCAGCACTCACATGGGAAAGCTAAACGTGGGTGCATATGCTTCCAAGACAGGCTCACCCCGACTGTCTACTCAGGTGATCTTTAAGCCATCAGAAAATCCTGTCCGGAGAATCAAAGTGGATAGCTTCTGAGGGACAGCATGGAGGCTGCCCTCTGGCCTACACATGCACACACAAAGGATAACTGTGTGTTAAATAGTAGAGATGTGTGAAAGATTTGGTAACTCTGGCAAGAAAAGATCCTTTTGACTAGACTGAAATGAGTATGCCAGCCATCTCTTTGGCACTATTTAAAATCTAATCCCAGAAGCAAATGCCTGAGAAGTCACTTTAATCTCAAACATGTTAGAGAAATAAATTCAAAATCAGGTCCGACAATGTCATCACCCCAACTGAGCAGAACATTATTAGTGATCAAGTTAAACTCCCATCTAAATATTCAGGGTCTGTTACTAACGCAGGTCTCGTGGACTGTCAAGGATGACATAAGAATAGAATGTGTGTGTCCACTAGGCGCAGTGGGATCCCTGACAGTTCTGTCCATTTGGCTTTTCTGGGGCAGAGTGCAGCCCTGGCCTGGGGGAATGGGACAGCATTTACCCCCATGAAACAGCTTCTTCTAGTGGTAGATGTGGCCAGTCTCTGAAAAAGTGAGTTCCTTGTGACACTTTTGCTTAAAGTCTGCATAAGTGGACTTTTGGAAAGAAGTAACCCACTCTTGGATTGCCCTAGAATTCAAGGGTCCTTTTCTTTTTGAGACAGGGTCTCTATTCTCTAGCCTAGAACTATGTAGAGCAAGCCAGCATATGTACATGTTTACCCTGTTTTCCTTGTTCTACCAGTATTCTGAAATGTTTTCTTTGTATACTCATAACAATGTAAATTCATAGAAAGAGTCAACTGGGAGTCAGATGTGGTAAATGCCTATAACCCTTGCCCTTGGAGCTGGAGGAAGGAGACTTGGGAATTCAGGGTCATCTTTAGCCACTTAGTTTGTTTGAGTCCAGCTTGAGCTACATGAGACCCTGTGTAAAAGCAGACAAAGAAGACTCTGACTTAAACTAGGGCGTTCTGTATAGTACAATGTGCTTCTGTTATAGCTGTGTTGTCTAACTCCTACTCAGGGCCTGCTCATGTTCAGAAGAAACTGTCCCAGAAGCTGTCTCCAGTAAAAGGCCACGTCCTTTGGCACTTGCTCTGTTCCAGGAGTGGTCACGTCCTTGAGGAGAAGGTCCTTTCCAAGTCAGGCCCTCTGATCTCCAGCTCATAGAGAAAACTCTGTCTAGGCCATGTTTGTGAAGAAAACTTCTAAAGAACATAAAGGGCCTTTTATTTTTCAGAGCAAATCATGTGGCTTTTGTTGCTATTAATCCAGGCACAAGGGGAAGTTTATGTGAGAAAATCATTATTGAACAGTTTGTGCTTCGCAAATGTCAATAGAACATTTTTCTTTCATTTCCAGAATCACCAGAGTCTCAAACTCTTACACTGGTATTTTTGGCCCTCTTTGTAATGGCCTTTCTCTCTCTCTCTTCTATCTTTGGCTTTTGTTTTTTGTTTTTTTGAGCAGGATCCCATTGTGTTACAGCTCCGAGGGGCAAGACATTCTGGCAGTCAAAAGTCAGGGAAAACCACAAAGTCACCCTGTACAGCAAACCTCACACAAGAATGATTGGGAGGGAAGAACCCAGAGGGTGGCTGCCTCTGCTTAGTCAAGAAGCAGCTGAGTAGAAGACAGGGTTTATATAGGATCTCCGGGTTGGGGTGGAGGGATTTCCAGGGTGGGGATTGGTGGGATTTCAAGTCCAGAGCTTGGGCTTTTTACTCTGTAGATAGCGGGCTGGGTCCAGCTTTAGGGCAGTTAAAGTGTTCTTTGGTTGGAACCTTGTGGGTGGAGGTACTCAGGGGAGGGGCCTGGCCACTCTTGTGCCTTCTTGAAGGGCTTAAACTCATAATCCATGCTTGCCTCAAACCACTTTGGTCAAAGCTGGCCTTGAACTTGTAATCTGTCTCTACCTCCCAGATAGTAGGATAAGCATGCACCACTATACCTGGCTGTGGACTTATACATACATACATACATACATACATATATGTGTGAGAGAGAGAAAATTGATACATGTATGCAGGGGTCCACAGAGACCAGAGGAAAGCATTGGATCCTCTGGAGCTGGTGTTACAGACAGTTGTAAGCAGCCCAGCATGGATCCTCTGGAAGAGTAACAGGTGTTCTTAACTGCAGAGCCACCTCTCCATCTCTCACATCTTTTGTTTTGTTTTGTTTACTTAAAACAGTCCTAGCTTCAGGATCTCAAACTTTTCGATTACTTATTTACTTGTTTTGCCCACTCTTGCACAAGTGCATGCTGTAAGTGCATGCATGTTCTAAGGAAGGCTTCCCCAACAGAAGTGTAACAGCTCAGCTCCGTCAGGGAACAGTTCCCGCACTGCAAGTGTTACAGCTCTGAAGGGAAAGATACCCTAGCAATCTGGAGCCAAGGGATACCACAGTCACACTGCACAACAAACCTCACTCAAGAGATTGATCAGGAGGGAAAATCCCAAGAGGGTGGCTGCCTCTGCTCAGGCAAGAAGTGTCAGGGAACTGAGCAGAATATAAGATTTGTGTAGGGCTTCTGGGTGGGTAGAGTTTTCCTCGGTGACCTGGGATTGGTGAGTTTTTGTGGCCTGATCTTGAGGCAAACTAGGGGATTGATGAGATTCTCTTTCTTGGCTCTGGTCTTGGGGTCAAGTCAGGGTCTGGGTGTCCTTTCCTTGTCCCTTTTACCCTACCCATGCCACAACACATATGGAAGACAGTCTAACTTTTGGAAGTAGTTGGCATCAGGGATTGAATGCTGATCATCAGTCTTTGTTGAGCTTATACTGTCTGCCAGTGAAGAAAGTGGGCTGGCTGAAGCAGTCCTTCTCAAACTGTAATGAGCTGAGAATGGCCTAGAGATCTAACTTCAAATGCTGGTTCTAGCTGGAAATACAGCTGCATACTAGAGCATGCACATAGCCCTGAGTTCAGACCCTGGCAATAAGGAGAAATGAGCTCTAATTCAGGAAGAGCATCCCTGGTGATGCCAGTACTGCAGTTTATAATTTGAATAGAAAGCACCTCACAGGGGATGGAGAGATGGCTCAATGGTTAGGAGCACTGGCTGCTCTTCCAGAGGTCCCGAGTTCAATTCCCAGCACCCACATGATAGCTCACACAACCATCTATAATGAGATCTGTCTGCATACATGCTGACAGAATCCTGTATACTTAATAATAAATAAAGTCTTTTAAAAAATCACCTCACTAGGCTCCAATATTTATTAATTCTATTTTTAAATTACATTTGTGTAATGTGTGAGAAAACCTCAGTTGTCATCCTCAGGGACATTATAAACTTCCTTCATTACACAGTCTTTCATTGGCCTGGAGCCCAGGTAGATTGGCCAATACACCTTAAAGATCCTCCTATCTCTGCTTTGTAGTGCTGGGGTTACAAGTGCTTGTCAGGCATATTTGCAGTGGTTCTACAGATAATATTCTGGTCCATATGTACTGAGGCAATCACCACTGGCCGTGCTATTTGTCCAGCCCCTGTTCAGAATTTCCATTACAGAATTGCATACTCTTCACATCTGGATTATGATTGCTTGTGTTAAAGTGGCCGCAGGATTGTTCGTTATCCAAGGGGAGCAAAGATGTAATGGTACCTTCTAGACATACCAACTAGA